TGCAATGTCTGCATTACTCAACATCTAGCAACCAGAATCAACCATCACTTTCTTCAAACCACTCATTTATATTTTTCTTCACAATGTTACTTTCTCCAGCTCATCTAATAATATCAGTTACAGGCACTCCTTACTTAATGACCTACCCGTTTAATGACCACTCAGACTTACGACCAGGTCTTTCTGACCAGTTGGTATAATACGCTGTATGAGAACTTTGGTTGTGGAAATGGTAGTGCAGCATCTCAGTGTCAAGCAATCAAGACTACAAATTTGGTCTAAAAATTTGTACCTTACTGCACACCCCATAGTACAAGATAGAGCTGGAAGTGCAGCAGCACTTGGAAGAAGAAGAGGAAAGAATGGAAGTACATTCTTGGAGTCCCCCTCCCTCTCGTTTATGATGGCATCTAAGGGCTTACCTAGAGTTTACCTGGAGAGGGTTTTGGGGGTCAACACCCCCGCGGCCTGGTCCGAGACCAGGCCTCATGGTGGATCAGGGTCTGATCAACCAGGCTGTTACTGCTGGCCACACACAAGCTGATGTATGAACCACAACCTGGTTGGTCAGGTACTGACTTTAGGTGCCTGTCCAGCCATAAATGATTAAACTCAGTGAACAAAGTATGTTGATGGTAATAATAATTTTAACAATCACCTTTGGTAGCTTTAACTCTTGGAGGGTCAAGACCTTGCTCCCAAACTTGGTCTCAGGGTTTATTACAAAACACTAATTTAAACAAATACCTCAACCTTTACACAAGTAGAGTGTATGTTTACTTCAGCCTGTTAATAGTGTTGTAATATGGGAGTTCAGGATTATAAATAACACTACAGTCTATACTCTTTACTATAAATATATTCTGTATAAAAACATAAGGAATCTTTATCTTTGATACAGGTACATTTTATATACAGTCGCAAAATATCAAATAAGTAAAAAGTAACATCATCATAACCCTAATGCCTCAGTGCCGCATGTCACTGCCACCTTCGTGTCTTATGGCACTACCAATCCCAGTGTCATGATGCCTACTTCTGTGTCACAAGACACCCTTGTCTCTGTGTACTGACGCTGCTCCTCGGCCGTGTCACCTGACACCCTTGTCTCTGTCACATGACACTCCTTCTCTACCATGTCATACAACACTGCATTATCCCCTTATTATAACATTGTTTCTGTATTTCCTTTTCTTCATGGTATCTGACACTTCAACACTCCAATTTACATGACCCTTTACTTGTGTGTCGTGTCACCTGACACTCACCGGGTTACCACACCCTGAACTATACTTCTGTGTCCGTGTCACCTGACACACAACGCTCACAGGGTACAACACACACCCTGGCTTTCCACAGCACTTCTATCTGTGTCGCCTGACATACAATGCTCACCGGTTACAATACCCTGACTCATACTTCTGTCCGTGCCACATGACACACGCTCACCGGGTTACACACCCTGGTTTCCCACGTCCCTCCTCTACAGAGACCCACATGTCCCTGAGGTCCACAGAAGCCTAAGTCCCCAGATATCCGCTCCGAGGCAGTCTGGTGAATACACAACAGCCAGTAGATGTACGCCGTGAGGCCGTCTGGTGAACACAATCACCAGCAGGTGTAGAGTCCGCTGAATAATGACAAAGGCCGTCACCAGCAAGTGTAGTCCGTGAGAGTTTGGTTAATACTCTCTTCAGGTGTACTCTGTGGGGAAGTCTGGTGACTACTGACATTCACCAGCAGGAGTATTCCATGAGAGTCTGGTGAATACTTTGTTCAGGTGTACTCCGTGAGGAAGTCTGGTGACTACTGACATTCAGGCCGGCTCAGCAGTCCCCACATTGGATCTGATGACATACATCATCGTACCGCCAGCCAGCAGGTCAACTACCCAACCACCAGTGTGGTAGGAGGCCGCAACAGGGTCAAAGAATTCCTCCCCCCCCCAAAAAAAAAAAAAACAATTATGAAATGATTGAGAATCTTTCCCAAAGGTAATGAAACAAAAAGCATGAAATATGATGGAAAACTTACGGAATTATGCTCTCGTGAAGTTAGTGGTCTCTGCGACATTTACGCATTGGCAATTTTGCTCACTTTGAGCCCTATTTTAGGCCAATTCCACTGTTCCAGTCAACCAAACTCATAGCTGTTTCACTAGAACTCCTTTTGTTCTATCGACTGAGTACGAGGAACTGCTCATTTACCTATTTCAACAACCCAATAGCGATCAGAAATTACTAATTTGGCCAATTTCACACAAAATTCAAGAAAGGCCAATTTCAAAATGGGGGCCAGAATACATAATGTAGACATTTCTGGCACTAAACATTTTCTCTGTTCATTATTCACATCTCCAGGCCTCTCTTATATTACACTTGCTTTTCATTTTGAATTTTTCTGCACATGAAAAATAGAAGATTTACTGTTATTTAGACTGCTGCATAACTGTAGTAATTGTATAAATAATGTCAGTGCATTTGTGAATGCATATTAGACTGGCCAGTTGACGTGTATTGGATGCTATTTTGAGCTCAATTTCAGGCTACTTTTAGTTTGTAAACCATCCAAAAACATCTAAATTTCTGTAATATATCTGCAATTATATCAATTGAGACCAAAAAATTGAGAATACAACCATAAAAACCATATAAAAATACACTGCAAAGTCGTTCTTTTACACCAAAAACACGGTCACAGTTTTTTTCTCGTTATGCACTGCGTGCTGCAGGAATTTTTTTTATACCGCACGCACTGACCACACAGACCCATTCTCTCATATGTAGGCCTACCAGTTTTCTCTCACAAGATTGGAAGCCACTAGAATTTTGGCGTAGTATTACGGACCAACCCTGGGTTAAATGTGGTATATTTCATTTAGGTAAGGTAGCTCACTCAGCTACCATGCCTACACAAAAATGACATTTAAAGTGCTCCAGGGCAATTATTAAAATAATTATTACAGTATTATTATTAGTACTGACATACCTTGTTCACTGAATTTAATCAATTCTCACAACTACCCTTAGATGCCATTGGAAACGAGAGAGAGAGAATGAGAGATGACAATAATGTAAACTAACAGATTAATGCATAAAAAAACCATACCACGGGCAGGGATAAATATATTGTTTCAGACTATGAAACAATGCTCTTCTCCAGACTGAGGGACTGACCACCTCAAAACTTTAAGGGTGATGGACTGATTACATCATCTTCAAGTCTCTTCTGCTTCTATCAACTTTTCTGTACTCGACTGAAGAAGCCTACTGTGTAGGCGAAACGTTTCAAAATAAAGATACTTAACTGTTGCATATGTGTCTTACCTAACAACAGGGATAAATATACCTAGTTGGATGAATAAGAATAAGCAGAGTTAACTGCACATGGCTTGTATCCAGAGACAAGACTGAGTAACTGAATCAAGCTTTCTGTGCAGTGGCAATTTGAAAATCTGAATTTGTGTTTGCATTCTCTGATGCACTTTTAATAAATTTTTGCAATTTTAGCAGAAACAGTACACTCAAACCATACCACAGGTGGGGTTAGAACCCGCGATCAGTGTCTCAAAACTCCAGACCAACGCGTTAGCCACTGAAGTTTTGAGACACTGATCAGGGGTTCTAACCCCACCCGTGGTATGGTTAGTTTGCAATCGTGTCATTACAATTTTGTGAGTCGGTACACTCATTTGTGGAGACGAAGAATGTTATCCATGGAGCCCACACTCTTATACTGATGTGAAGAATGGGTTTTAAGCGTTGCAATGAGGAGGATGCCGCAGTAGTCATGTTTGAGAGCAAAGTGTGGTGTGAATATTATGTAGAGAATTTGGAGAGTAGGAGGTGCAGGGTCACTAAAAGTATTATCCATGGGGCTGAAGAAGGTTTAAGGTGGTTTGGACACTTAGGGAGGATGGAGGAAATAGGATGACTTGGAGGATATATAAATCTGTAGTGGAGGGGTAGGGGTCACCCTAGGAAACATTGGAGAGAGGGGTAAAATGGTTTTGTACAACAGAGGCTTGGGCATCCAACAGGCATGTGAGAATGTTAAATAGAAATGAATGGAGGCAAATGGTTCTTATGACTTGAAATGCTGTTGGAGTGTGGGCAAGGTAACGCTTATGATGGGATTCATGTAATGGGTTAGCCAGACTTGAGTCCTGAAAGTGAGAAGCACTGTGCCTGCACTCTGAAGAAGGGTTGGGGATATAGCAGTTTTGAAAGTCATCCGAGCTGTAGTGTTGGTACGCGTCTGACAAGACAATGATAAAGTGGGAAATAATAATTATTTCTCCTTTAACAGGTCACCCTACCTTGGTTGGAAATGTCTGTGTTAAAAAAAAAAAAAATGGAGCGTGTGGTAATCCCCAATGTTGCCGTCAGTAGGTCATCAACCTTCAATTTCATGCCCTCATATCTTGGAAAGTACTTGAGGTAATTTTTTGCTTCATTATCACCACAAAAAAATTTTTTTTATTTATTTATTTAATTTAATTTTTTTTTTTAAAAATGCTGACATTTTCTGCAGTTTTAATTCTGGGGCTCCGGACAGTGGAAGGGTTAATATAAAGTACACGTTTAAAAAATTCTTCTTTGTCCAATAAACAGTTGTTCTCTTACCTTACTGCAGTGACAAAGTGTGGAGACAGATATCTCCTTAAATTATATTGATAACATAAGGTTTGTGGGCAGCTGTGTTGTTGTAGGCAGCAGTTGTAGGGCGAGTGATGAGGACAGTTGTAGGGTGAGTGATGAGGACAGTTGTAGGGTGAGTGATGAGGACAGTTGTAGGGTGAGTGATGAGGACAGTTGTAGGGTGAGTGTGATGGTCAGTTGTAGGGTGAGTGATGAGGACAGTTGTAGGGTGAGTGATGAGGACAGTTGTAGGGTGAGTGATGAGGACAGTTGTAGGGTGAGTGATGAGGACAGTTGTAGGGTGAGTGATGAGGACAGTTGTAGGGTGAGTGATGAGGACAGTTGTAGGGTGAGTGATGAGGTCAGTTGTAGGGTGGTGATGAGGACAGTTGTAGGGTGAGTGATGAGGTCAGTTGTAGGGTGAGTGATGAGGACAGTTGTAGGGTGAGTGATGAGGACAGTTGTAGGGTGAGTGATGAGAACAGTTGTAGGGTGAGTGTTTGAGGACAGTTGTAGGGTGAGTGATGAGGACAGTTGTAGGGTGAGTGATGAGGACAGTTGTAGAGTGAGTGATGAGGACAGACACATTAGTGTAGTGACCATAAATACCTGTTGGTTTGACCTGAGTATTTTACAAGGCTTGACAATCCACAGCTGAGCAAAATTATTTCACAAACTATGGTGCTAAAGTGTGCACCTGGAGAGTTGATACCTCATCTAACCTGAGATAAAATGTTCATAAATAATTTTACTCAACTAAAGACTTTTAAGAATAACTGTAACAATTCACCACAGAGTATTTGGCACATTGGATAATAAACTTAACAAGAAAAAATAAAGTACACAAAAGATTCACAAGATCAAAGGAACACGTCATTTTTTACAAATTTGCATAGGAACACTGTACCAAAAATGTATGAGGTTATGTAATCTTTTGTTTCTGGAGAGTATTTGGGCCATTCCAGCCAAAGGAATTAAATACTTTTTATCAAAGTAATCTCATAGCTGCTCCAAAGATCCAGATGCTAGGTATAAATTTAAAGATAACAATTAGTGTTAGGTTAATGTAAACACCCTATTGACCGCTTTGCAGTCAATAGGGTTATATTTTACCTGCACATCAGCAGTCAAGAATATTTTAATTCTTAAAAAACAAAAAGATTAAAGTATTCTTGTAAGCCCTCAGGGTATATATACTAGGAGATATACACTTCTTAGTGTAAATATCCTATATTTACAAATTGACACAGTTGAGAGAGGCACTGTGAGCACATATAACACAACAATGACCCCTGTGAGCTAAGCAGATGGTGTGGAAGGCATGACTGCAGGGAAACACAGTAATGCCACCTTCACTTACTAGAGCTTGAGTGGGCAACTTCAAGTGGCAACAAAAGCATACTCCTTGCAACACCTGCGTCTGTACTCCCCAGTGGTGCCCCAGTGGTCCTGGAGTAGCACCCAGCGCTGAGGATCTTGGGGGAGTATGCTCATCATTCTCATCCACCTGTACTTCATTCTCAATCTCACCATTCTTGGAAGAACACTGTGACAATTTAAGTCCTTCACTTTCTTCATTAGTTCTGTTGTCAATGGCATCATGTCTATGAAGTGATGTTGCTACCTGCAAAAATGTTCACTCATTAACGAGGTTATGAATGAATTTCTATGGCAATATAATGCTGTCTGACTCACATGGTCAGAGTGTTAAAATGAAAATAATAATTCTCATGCTGTTACAGTTGTCTGACAACCTCCTAGCAACAATTTATACATGTAAACTGCCTTGTATAATTAATTTTAAAAACTGGATACATATATATACTATATATTTTTTTTTAACAAGTTGGCCGTCTCCCACCAACGCAGGGTGACTCAAAAGGAAAGAAAATCCCCAAAAAGAAAATACTTTCATTATCATTCAACACTTTCACCTCGCTCACACATAATCACTGTTTTTGCAGAGGTGCTCAGAATACAACAGTTTAGAAGTATATACGTATAAAGATACACAACATATCCCTCCAAACTACTAATATCCCAAAACTCTCCTTTAGAGTGTGGGCATTGTACTTCCCATTTCCAGGACTCAAGTCCGGCTATATAGAAATAACCGGTTTCCCTGAATCCCTTCACTAAATATTACCCTGCTCACACCCCAACAGATCGTCAGGTCCCAAATACCATTCGTTTCCATCCACTCCTATCGAACACGCTCATGCCAGCTGCTGGAAGTCCAAAACCCCTCGCCACAAAAACCTTCCTTACCCTTCCTTCCCAAACCCCTTTTTGAGGAAAAACCCTACCCCGCCCTTTCCTTCTCCTACAGATTTAAATGCTTTTCATGTCATTCTACTTTGATCCATTCTCTCTAAACGACCAAACCACCTCAACAACCCCTCTTCGCCCTCTGACTAATACTTTTATTAACTCCCACCTTCTCCTAAATTTTTTACCCCTCCGAATTTTCTGCATAATATTTACACCACACATTGCCCTTACACAGGACATCTCCACTGCCTCCAACCGCCTCCTCGCTGCAGCATTCACAACCCAAGCTTCACACCCATATAAGAGTGTTGGTACTACTATACTTTCATATATTCCCTTCTTTGCCTCCATAGACAACGTTTTTTGACTCCACATATACCTCAAGCACCACTCACCTTTTTTCCCCTCATCAATTCTATGATTAACCTCATCCTTCATAAATCCATCCGCTGACACGTCAACTCCCAAGTACAGTGGACCCCCGCTTAACCATCACCTCCAAATGCGACCAATTATGTAAGTGTATTTATGTAAGTGCGTTTGTACGTGTATGTTTGGGGGTCTGAAATGGACTAATCTACTTCACAATATTCCTTATGGGAAAAAATTCGGTCAGTACTGGCACCTGAACATACTACTGGAATGAAAAAAGTTCGTTAACCGGGGGTCCACTGTATCTCAAAAATTCACTTCTTCCATATTCCTCCTCCCCAATTTGATATATATATATATATATATATATATATACATGTATAAAATAGGTAAAATGAAAGGGGGTAAGGCAGCCGGGATTGATGGGATAAAGATAGAAATGTTTAAAAGCAGGTGGGGATATAGTTTTAGAGTGGTTGGTTTCAATTATTTAATAAATGTATGGAAGAGGGTAAGGTACCTAGGGATTGGCAGAGAGCATGCATAGTTCCTTTGTATAAAGGCAAAGGGTAAAAAGAGAGTGCAAAAATTATAGGGGGATAAGTCTGCTGAGTATACCTGGTAAAGTGTAAGGTAGAGTTATTATTGAAAGAATTAAGAGTAAGACAGAGAATAGGAAGCAGATGAAAAAGGAGGCTTTAGGAAAGGTAGGGGGTGTGTGGACCAGGTGGTTTACAGTGAAACTATAAGTGAACAGTATTTAGATAAGGCTAAAGAGGTCTTTGTGGCATTTATGGATTTGGAAAAGGCGTATGACAGGGTGGATAGGGGGGCAATGTGGCAGATGTTGCAAGTTTAAATGGAGTAGGAGGTAGGTTACTGAAAGCAGTGAAGAGTTTTTTACGAGGATAGTGAGGCTCAAGTTAGAGTATGTAGGAAAGAGGGAAATTATTTCCCAGTAAAAGTAGGCCTTAGACAAGGATGTGTGATGTCACCATGGTTGTTTAATATATTTATAGAAGGGGTTGTAAGAGAAGTAAATGCGAGGGCCTTGGCAAGAGGCGTGGAGTTAAAAGATAAAGAATCACACACAAAGTGGGAGTTGTCAGAGCTGCTCTTTGCTGATGACACTGTGCTCTTGGGATATTCTGAAGAGAAGTTGCAGAGATTGGTGGATGAATTTGGTAGGGTGTGCAAAAGAAGAAAATTAAAGGTGAATACAGGAAAGAGTAAGGTTATGAGGATAACAAAAAGATTAGGTGATGAAAGATTGAATATCATATTGGAGGGAGAGAGTATGGAGGAGGTGAATGTATTCAGATATTTGGGAGTGGACGTGTCAGCGGAAAGGGTCTATGAAAGATGAGGTGAATCATAGAATTGATGAGGGGAAAAGAGTGAGTGGTGCAATTAGGGTAGTCTGTGGAGACAAAGAACTTTGTCCTTGGAGGCAAAGAGGGGAATGTATGAGAGTATAGTTTTACCAACGCTCTTATATGGGTGTGAAGCATGGGTGATGAATGTTGCAGCGAGGAGAAGGCTGGAGGCAGTGGGGATGTCATGTCTGAGGGCAATGTGTGATGTGAATATAATGCAGAGAATTCGTAGTTTGGAAGTTAGGAGGAGGTGCGGGATTACCAAAACTCTTGTCCAGAGGGCTGAGGAAGGGTTGTTGAGGTGGTTCGGACATGTAGAGAGAATGGAGTGAAACAGAATGACTTCAAGAGTGTATCAGTCTGTAGTGGAAGGAAGGCGGGGTAGGGGTCGGCCTAGGAAAGGTTGGAGAGAGGGGGTAAAGGAGGTTTTGTGTGCGAGGGGCCTGGACTTCCAGCAGGCATGCGTGAGCGTGTTTTGATAGGAGTGAATGGAGACAAATGGTTTTTAATACTTGACGTGCTGTGGAGTGTGAGCAAAGTAACATTTATGAAGGGGTTCAGGGAAACCGGCAGGCCGGACTTGAGTTCTGGAGATGGGAAGTGCAGTGCCTGCACTCTGAAGGAGGGTGTTATGTTGCAGTTTAAAAACTGTAGTGTAAAGCACCCTTCTGGCAAGACAGTGATGGAGTGAATGATGGTGAAAGTTTTTCTTTTTTCGGGCCACCCTGCCTTCGTGGGAATCGGCCAGTGTGATAAAAATATATATATATAATTATATATATATATATATATATATATATATATATATATATATATATATATATTTATAATATATAAATATATATATATATATACAGTGGACCCCAGTTAATGAACTTTTTTCATTCCAGTAGTAAGTTCAGGTGCCAGTACTGACCGAATTTTTTCCCATAAGGAATATTGTGAAGTAGATTAGTCCATTTCAGCCCAAACTTTACACGTAAAACGCACTTACTTTAAATACATTCATAATGGATTTTGGAGTGATGTTAAGCGGGGTCCAAGTATGTTGTAAGTATGTATGTATGTTATTTAGATTTATATAAATTATATATATATATTATATAATATAAAATAATAAATATTTTTATATAAAAATATATATATTATATATATATTTATATATATATATATAATATATTATATAAAATATATATTTATATATATATTATATATAAATATATATATTATAATATATTATATAAAATTTTAATATATATATTATATATATATATATATATATATTATATATATATAATATATATATATATTATAATATATATATATATATATATATATATATATATTATATATATTATATATAATATTATATATATTTATAGGTAGTAGGTGGTAGACAGAAACCACCCAGGAGGTACTCCCGTCCTGCCAAGTGAGTGTAAAACGAAAGCCTGTAATTGTTTTACATGATGGTAGGATTGCTGGTGTCTTTTGTCTGTCTCATAAATATGCAAGATTACAGGTACGTCTTCCTACTTCTACTTACACTTAGGGTCACACTACACATACATGTACAGTTTATTTATACATACTAATCTGAGTTTTCTTTGATTTTATCTTAATGTTCTTGGTCTTTTTACTTTTCCTTTTATATCCATGGGGAAGTGGAAAAAAGAATCTTTCCTCCGTAAGCCTGCGTGTTGTAAAAGTCAACTAAAAAAGCCCGGGGAAAAATGGGCTAGTAACCCTTTTCCTGTAAAGATTACTAAAAAGAATAAAAGAAGAAAATTGTCAAAGTGGGAAGTCTGAATGTGCGTGGATGTTGTGCAAATGATAAGAAAGAGATGATTGTGGGTGTTTTGAATGAGAAGAAACTGGATGTCCGGGCTTTAAGTGAAACAAAGCTGAAGGGGGGGGGAGAGTTTCAAGGAGAGGAAATAAATGGGATTAGGTCAGGGTTTCAAATAGAGTTAGAGCTAAAAAAGGAGTAGCAATAAGGGTTGAAGGATAAGCTATGGCAGGAAAGAGGGACTACAAATGCATAAATTCAAGGATTATGTGGAGTAAAAAAAATGGTATGTGAAAAGTGGGTTATAGTAAGCGGGGTTATGCACCTGGAGAAGAGAGAAGTGTAGAGGAGTGAGAGAGATTCTGGGAAATGTTGAGTGAATGCGTGGGGAAGTTTTTGAATCAAGTGTGAAAGTAATGGTGGTTGGGGATTTCATGCTAAAGTGGGTAAAAATGTTATGGGGGAGTAGTAGGTAAATTTGGGTGCCAGGGGTAAATGTAAAGGGGGAGCCTTTAATTGAGCTATGTGTAGAAAAAAATTTGGTAATAAGTATTACATATTTTATGAAAAAAAAGATAAAAAAATTTATACAAGGTATTGATGTAGCAGTAATGAAAGTAGTTGTTAGATTATGTATTGGTGGATAAAAGGTTGATGGGTAGGCTCCAGGATGTACATGTTTTATGAGGGGCAACTGATATATCGGATCATTTATTTAGTTGTAGCTACAGTTAAAAATAAGAGGTAGATAAAAAAAGAGGAAGGTGGCAACAACAAGAAAGAGGGAGGTGAAAGGGGTATAAACTAAGGGAGGAG